TGACAGTGCAATGATAGATATCATAGTAAAAAAATTCCTAAATCAAGCAATGTATTATTACTTACTAATGAATTCCAACTGTTCTTTTAAGGATATTCGATTCACACGTTTTCACCAGCCTCTCAACTCAGCTATGCAAAATAATATATAAATCCCACAATGCCTTATGTTCCGCGTTTGACGTCAAAATTATCCTTCTGTTAATTTGATTTCTTGAAATATAATAGGACGTTTGCATGATGGCGTCATTTGACTTCCACTACCAAGATGCTTCGCGAATTTTCTTTCTTATTTAAATTTGTATTCCCTCATGAGAATAGTAAGAGAATTGGTACTAATTAACTGAACAAAAGAAAGTGTGCAAGGGAGTCTGGTTGTAAAGATCAATAACGCCATCGTGCAAACGTCCTATTCGCCTTTCGGCGCTAGCCATCACGTGGTATAAATGATGTTGCATTGTGTTTCGGTCACGCAAGAAGTTCGGACATTATTCTCGGATTTGCGCTCCAATGTACTGACTTTTAAACAAATTATTAACTTGGTTTTTTTAGTGAAGGGGAAAGGTGAATTGAAAAGAATAAATTTAATTTCAAGCGCGGTGTGCGCGGATGTTTTTTCGTAGGTTTATTGAATGTATAGAGTATCGTGGGTATCGCGACCCATAATGCCTTGCGATCGAAGATGGCCGCCGCATCGTAGAAGTAGTCCATCGTCTACGGACGTTAAGAAGTCTCTATCATTGCAAGGCCACTGCATGATGAATCCTCGCTTTGCACATCCAGGCACGACTACCTTTCAAGATGGCGCAGGGAACCATGAAGGGGACTATTAATCACAAGGTAATTAGTATAATTGACAGATTAGATGTCTGGATATTTTTAGTTAGGTTATTTATAAATACTTCGACCATCACGTATCCAAATCCAGGGGAAAAGTCTGAAAGATTTTTGATAAATTTGAAACAAATTTTGCAATACTTTTTTTATCGACACTAAAAAAGCTACACAAATATTTTGTTCTTTAGAAGTATCGTATTTCTAGATCTACACCGATTTTAGCGAATTTTTGGCGGAGTTTTGGTCTCCCTGTGTTGTCCTTCACATTGTCTACAATGTGAGCGCGCGCACACGTACGTAAATAATTCTTCCGTCTTTGTGACGTTAGTTTTTACCTTTGTACTTAACATTCACCGTAAAATTCGCAAAATAAACAAGCAAAAGCAAAGACGTGTAACACCGCGACTGACTAATCTCAAAGTACTGCCATAATGTCTGGAAAAAGCATTGCCTAGTAACATTGAGGCGTCGTATTACTGTCTGGCAAATACCTGGACAAATTAAAGGTTGCAAAGTGGTAGCCTTTAAAAGGAGAGCTAAGGTCAAAGAACTTTTACATTGGTGAGGGCACGTACGGACTTTTTTTTTGTTCAAGCAGTCATATGAAAAGGTCATCTATTTAGACAATAGGCAACTAGTTTAGCCGTTGCCTCATGTGATCATATTGTAATACCTGACTTGAAGGACTTAAAACAGGTTTCATACCACCAACCTAAAGTGCATAAGAACCTTAAGGTGGGGTACAAGTTTTCATCAAAATTGTATTTGCTGGCCGTTGTAAAGTCAAATATATTGCGTAATCAAGTTATTAAGCTTTACTGAACAACACCATTGATATTCCTCTTCAACAGCGATGGCGTTGTCCAGAGCCGAGAGTAACCAGTTTGCCACTGTATGGGACGCGTGGCTGATACAGACCATTATCATGTCTTTTGGCTTGGCATTGTTCGACGCTGCAAGTAGAAACATCCTTGTCGCATGGATTCTCTGCTGCTTCGATGCAGCTTTTATCATAGATGCTTGCGTTCGAGGATACCAAAAGACGTACAGAATACTCAATGGTTCTCAAAAAATCCACACCAAGAATATCCTGGCTGTAAATTCTTTCACACATGTCTTGTCAAACTGGCTACATGTTTTTGGGTTTGTCTCGCTGATTCCTTATCATTTGCTGTTCCTATGGCAGATGGAAACCGACGTTTATTATACGGTTGTCTGCCTCATGCGTCTACTATGGATCTACCAAGCACAGAGGTCGTGTTTTGCTTACCTCAACCTTAAGTTTCTACAACGCAGTGGATGAGTGGTTCACGCAGCTGAATTATTTTCTGAGTGCTTTAAAAAATGAATATAACAAGACTAAAGGATAGTGAACACTGTGTCTCTATTTTATATAGTTTAATCCTGGGCAAATTCAACTGCTCCATGATAAAAAACGTAAACACATATGATTTAAACTTAAGACGGAATTAACTGAAATTTTCTAACACGTTTATAAACGTTAAACTTAAAAAAAAAAAAAAAAGGATTTTAACTCTATATAAGTAGAAAATCTTAATGCTATGGAATCTTTGGGCTGAAGCGCTATTTTGAAATCGTTGAACAAACTAGATATTGCCTTACCAAACATTATATCATGTTTATTTCAAACAAATCGTTTAGTGAACGTTAAACTTATCCTTTGTACTTTATATAATTGTAAATAAAAAGGTGGAATTTGTAATGTGTTTGTTTTTCTTGGTTCTTATGATCATAATACTTGTACAAACAGGGCGTCTCCAGGCTCATGTTTACCCCGTGTTTTTCTCTTCTGACTGACTTTCAACCTTTGCTCCCCGGCCCCCGCTGGTAACACAGGGAGCCCACGCTAGATAAAGTTAAATGACTAGAGAATCTCACGGCTAAGGCGCGTTATAAAAGGGAACCCAATCTTTCTTCATCATTAATTTTACATCAGCATTTATTATCTAGCAGACTTTTTTTTATAAAGCAAAAAAGGTTCTGTTTCATTTTCTGAAATGGGCTCCCTGTGGTTTCCCACAAGCCTTTGTTGTCGTAGTCAGAGGTGGCAGCCATCTTGGATGGTGTAGTGTGTTATGTAAGTGGGAGAATAAAATACAAATAACGCCATAAATAAAGCGAGTTCTTCGCCTGTTAATCAGAGTTATGGCAAGGCCGTTATTAAAGCTTCAGTCGTCCCGAGTTTTGGGTGAGTACTTAGAAAATTGATATTTTGGGAGTTTGTTGAAGATGAGCTGTTATGGGTGTTATGTGATGGTGGGGAAACTGTTTGGTGGAAGATTTTTTTCAGAACCGTTTTTTTTAAAGTTTGTGTTTGTTTGTGTACAGACACGTCTTTAAAAAACTATTTTTATACACTTCTTGAATGTGTGTGAGTCATAAAAGTTCCAGTTCAAGTTCCAAAGATCTAAGATTAAAAATATCAAATGTTGTTTTTACGTATGAGATTTCTTCACCTTTTCCCCTCGTTTCTGCCCTTCGCCAATCGGTTAAAATAAGTCCTTAAAAATTGTTTATATATTTCATAAAAGCATTTTAAATTTAAATGCCTAAAAAATTACCTGAAAAATTAAATGATAACGTGCTTGCTTTGCTGTGTGATGTTATTTAGCTTACAGTATAAATCACTTGTGATATAGGCAGAACACTTGGAGAAGCGACTAGTCGTGTCTTGCCAATCCCTCTGTGCTTTGTTTAAGAATAAAACTGCTATTTTCATACTCCCTTCAGTAGTAAAGCAAACAAGAAGGGGCTGCTAGGCTTTTATTGACACTTTTTTTTCGTTTTCAGAGTAAAACTCTCAAAAACAAAATTTTTATATGGCCCTTAAGAGGAGCTCATTGACAATTTTTTTTCAAAGATGTCAAGAGCCCCTGGGCATCCCCGGGCTCCCTACGTTGGGGCAAGACATTATTGATAGGTGCATAAGCACAAAAGAAGCATGATTAAAGACTTTTTGCACTTATTGCATGCTTTGCAGTTCCTAATTGCTTTATTATTAAAGGGAACACAGAAAAGGGGTCCTACATTGTCATCTTGAGGCAGATTTAAACATTTGAACACAAGAAAAGTACAAGAAAACGTTAGCAAACAGCGTAGAGCGCGCATGTACTATGCGTGTGTAGAAAATCAAACGATCAAATGAATGATATCATTGGATAATGCATCAAAGTGTGCACATGATGGGGCATAGGGATTCCTTCTCTTAGCTCATATTCTCTTGTTTCAACGACCGGGTTCCATTCAATTATGAAGCAAAGTTCTTGACCAATTAGAGCTCTCATACTATCTAAGCTATATAATAAACTGCACACAGCACACACACATGTTTTCTATTTTCTTAGTATATTATTCATAGTTATAAATATATTTCTTTTTTTGCATAGGAAGTAGATTTTGCTCTCTCAGTAAAGCAGTAACAAGCTCAAGACTATCATCAACCGCAGCTTCTCCTGAGGTATGCTAGTACACAGGGAGCCCAACACAAGATAATAGAGACCTTATGCATAGGAATTCAGCGCGAGTCCAGGGTGGTAATGCTAGGATGATAGCATGAGCTCATTTTCAAGATGGTTTTCATGCTTTTCTTTGGAGCTTCTAAAGAGGTTTTGCACCATCGTGTGATGACAGCCATGTTAGACTGAGGAACAGTGCTATCGTTTTACATAAAGTAATCAATTCCTGAGAGCAAAGAGATTTTATTGTTATACCATCTATCCACAGGCAGCCCAAGCTGTATTATGGGTGTGCGCATGTGATGGGGCAAAATATCCATTTTAGATTGTTAAAAAGCACCAACTGACGTTCTAGCAAAGACGTTTTGAAAATGTGCCTGTGTCATTGTCATTAGTGTCATTGATGCTTTTTATATAAAGTACAAAGTATTCTAACCTATATAACTGAATTGAATTTCTCAGCCACAGAGATCTTTTGGCGACTTAAAGGTAATTTCTTGTTTTCCTATCTATTTTATTTTTAAAATTCATATCAGTTTTTTTCTTTCATCTCTAATAATTGTCTACAAAAGTAAAAGTTGGTAACTGTATAATTTTTGTTTGAAGGACGAAGATAGAATCTTCACCAATCTTTATGGCAGACATGATTGGAAGCTTAAGGGAGCTATGCAAAGGGTATGGAAATTAGTTAAATCATGTACTCACTTACAAAACCATGGCCAGTTTCAAAACATACATAGAACATAAAAACTATGACCAAACTTAGGTATTCTGATGAATGACATTAATTTTTTGTTATCCTCTGATGTAATTTCATAGGGAAAAAAACAGCATTTTTTGTTAATTTGTGCACTTGTTATCCTATAAAAGCTTGACATAAAAGGATATAAAGAGATATAATTAGAAGATAAAAGGATATAAAGAGATTTAGCATATACCAACTTGTGTACTTCCTTGGTTAATTGGAGGTGAATACTGTATGATATTCACCTCTGAATCTCGGAATATTGAGTTGGCAACAAAATGGCATCTGCCGGCGTTTTGCTAAAAAATGAAAGTAAATGCCATTCCTATCAATTCTAAAAAGGCAACGAAGTATGGCCTAAAAGTTTTGCTAAACGATTTACATAAATTTGTCACACAAACTAAAAGTTTCTGTTTGTTTGTTTTTATTGAATTATCGTATATAAAAATAAGTTACTCTGTACACAAGTTGGTGTATGATAAAGCAATTATTCACCTCAGACTCAGAGAATATGGAGAATATTTACCTCACTGCTTGAAGGCTCGCGTCTCGGTAAATATTCCCTGATATTCACTTCGCCTTCGGCTAATAATTGGTAAACATTTCTCTTGTGTTCTCTCAGCATCCCTTGTGGTAAGAATGGATTATGTAAAATAGAAAACTGTTTTATTTTTTAAAAATCTTACCAATCAAATAATTATTTATTATTTATTTATAATTTACATGTATTAATTATTAATTATTTACGACAGGGAGATTGGTACAAGACAAAGGAAATCATCCTGAAGGGTTCTGATTGGATTATTAGTGAAGTGACCAAGTCTGGCCTGAGAGGTCGTGGAGGAGCAGGTTAGTATCACCTTCAAAACTATCTTTTGCATCAAGGACACTTAATATTATGGTACATTGTACATAATTTCATGATTTACATAAAGTTGATGCCTTATGAAAAACATAATGTACTACTTTCTATCCTTCTTAGGTTTCCCAACTGGAATGAAATGGGGTTTCATGAATAAGCCATCAGATGGAAGGTAAAGACAGTAAGGGTTGATTAACAAACACCTCTGCTTTGAGTGTTGTTGATGGCATTGATCACCGAGTCCTGAATAGATTAATAGGCAAAATAAAAAAAAGAAATAACGGCTCCATCTTGAATTTCATCCCTGTTCAAACTAGTTGTACACTTTGGGACTGTTTTAGGACACAATTCCAAGATGGCATCTATTTTATCTGCTAATTATATCAAATAGCCCCACAACTCAGCCCAGTGTTTTTCCTCGGCCTCATAATGGCTTATATCCACTGTTTTATCAGGGGCGTAACCAGGATCTTGCAGGGGAGGTGTACAGGCAATGATTTGCAGAGCCAAAAAAATAAAAAAAACAGAACCAAAATACAAAAATAGAACCCTCCCCCCCCAAAAAAAACACGCTACGATATGCAGATGGAAAGTGGTCTACATTTAATCAAAAAAAAAACATTTACATGCAATTTTAAAGGAAAAGGAGCTTTTATGGGGGAGTGCACATGCACCCTGTGCTTCTCCCTGGTTACGGCCCTGTTTTTATGGAGGTTATTAGTTATTACGCTGTTAGTTTGCGTATTACAGCCCATTAATCTTACACTGTACAAGAGAAAGTGGCCTTAATTTTTTGAACCCCGTACAGCTTCTGAAGTAAAATTATCCGGCTGTAATACACGATTATAGCAGTGTAATAAATTATTTATTGTACGACATGAAAAAACTGAGAATGAGTGCATGAAAAACAACCATTTTCATTGTAAACAAGCAAAGTAGTCACAAGCTCAAACCACTGACATAAGCCGCACAAAGGATTAGAGGAAATTTTTCTCACGCTGTCATCAGCAAAAAAAACACATTCAAAACCAATTCACAGACTGTGTATTATTGCTATATAGTTGCACTCGCAAAATGGCCATAATACATGAGAAATTGTGTGTGTCGTAAAATAAGGTATGATATGAAACAGAGAAAGATTTTTTGGAACTCAGACCACGTAATTATAATCCTATGTTTCTGATTATCTCTTCAAAAATCTATTTATTATATTTGTTATAATTATTATTTTTTGCAGACCCAAGTACCTTGTTGTCAATGCTGATGAAGGTGAACCAGGGACATGCAAGGATAGAGAGATCATGAGAAATGATCCACACAAGCTGATTGAAGGATGTCTAGTGGCTGGTGCAAGCATGGGTGCCAGGGCAGGTAAACTACAGCCTATCCTTTATAATACTAACTAATAATCCCTAATACTAGTATCACCAGAGAAAAGGCAAAGGTATTAGCATGGGTCGAGTAGTGGTGAGAGCACTTGCCTCTTACCAAGGCAAACCAGACTTGGTGTTGTATGTGAGTACAGGTTCTCATCTGTGCTTTGAAGGCTTTTTCTCTTGGGTTTTCCAGATTTTCCTTCCTCCACAAAAAATCAACTTCTAAATTCCAATTTGTAAAATCCAGAGGAAGAAGAGCCAGCTCTGTGGAAACACTTTTAATCTCCATTCTATTTTTATGTGCATTACAAACTACCTTGATTGTTAGCTTGATACTTTAACCTATGCACTGTAGTACCGCGTTTCTTCTATAAGTTAAGGGAGAGAGCCACCAATATAAACCTTTGTAGATTCATGACTACAGTCAACACAGAATATATTTTCTTCCTACTCGTTGCCAATGTAGACTCGAATTGGCGGCTCAAAATTGCAATAAGTTATAAGAATTATTTGTAGATCCACTCCTGTTCATTGAGGGTTTTTCTCTCTGGGTTCTCTGATTTTTTTCCCTCAGCGAAAACTAATTCCACAAAGTGATTTAATCTTTTCGGAATCATGCACTACTATTGGACTAGTCGAATACTGCAAATTCTGAGTGGTGAAAATGGTTTAGTAATTATTTTTCATGTTTTCAATATTACTTCTCTTACTAGCTTACATCTACATAAGAGGAGAGTTCTACAATGAAGCTTCTAATATGCAGCTTGCCATCAATGAAGCTTACAAGGCTGGATTAATAGGCAAGAATGCTTGTGGAAGTGGCTTTGATTTTGATGTGTACATGCACAGAGGGGCAGGAGCATACATCTGTGGCGAAGAAACTGTAAGTAAAAAAAAATGTTTACAATTAAATGTATTTCCTCTAAATATTTAGTGTCAGAAGGAGAATTAGAAGCATACTTGAAAGCTTTAGTTAACAAAAGTCATCCTCACTAACACTTTTCATGCATTGGTTCACTGGTCATTGGTTACTCTGAGGGCACTGGTATTGTAAATTGTAAATAATAAATTGTCCTTGTTTTACAAGAATAGCACTAAATAGCCTATGGCTAACAAAACTGTGGCCCTTCTTTCATGATAGAACAGGAATTTATCTTTACAGATGGTGGTAAACCGGAGAACCTGGAGAAAAATTCTTAAAGCACAGGAGAGAATTAAGTTGAAACTCTGCTTGCATGTGATACCTAGTCTGGGAATCGCACTCGGTTCACATTGGTGAGCGCTGACTTAATGCTATGCCACCTCTGCCTTACCTAGTTTCAAAATATTATTAAAATGTGAACCTAAAAATTTCTACAGAATGCATAGTTTGACCAGTGAACCAATAAACAGTATGGAAAGTGAGAAATACCAGTCCCTTTAGAGTAAAAATAATACATGGGCATGGCCATACATGTACATTCCTTACTATACAATGGGCCTTAATGAGAGAAAAGAACACATTTGTACACAATCGAGGCTAAGACTGATCAAAGCCGATCTCTAAATGGCTAAATGGGAGTATTTTATACTATATTTCAGGCTCTTATAGAAAGCTTAGAAGGCAAGCAAGGCAAACCCAGATTGAAACCACCATTCCCAGCTGATGTTGGTATGGCAATACCTATCTTGTACATGTACTTTATATTTAGAATAATAGGCAACAAGATTATCACACAATATATTACTCTAATTCTGTGTCAGCCTTTAGTGAGTTAAAATTGTTCTGCAGCAGGTTATGAAGTCTTAAGTGTTAGTGGATGCATGCATCCTCCTTCTGCATTGCACAATGCAACAATTTTATGTGACAAGTCACATGACTGGATTGTCTGCAATACTGGTGCCCAGGATACCAAGACTAAGTGTTTGTCATTGGCTAATCAATCATCTCAATCCTACTGTGATTGGCTGTGCCATGACCCCCAGGATACCAAGACTAAGCGTTTTCATTGGCTAAGCAGTCATCTCAATGCTACTGTGATTGGCTGTGCCATAACCCCCAGGATACCAAGACTAAGCATTTTCATTGGCTAATCAATCATCTTAATCCTACTGTGTTTGGCTGTGCCATAACCCCCAGGATACCAAGACTGGTTTCATTGGCTAAGCAGTCATCTCAATCCCAATGCTATTGTATGAGTACCCTGCGAGCAGAGGATTTTTTTAAAACCCTCTCCCATCTCCCAACAGTCGGGAGATGGAGATGGGAGAGGGTTTTAAAAAAATCCTCAGCTCGCAGGGTAAGGATGTCCCCAGTCAGTTCAAAACATTTCAAAAAATCACCACCTTGGATCTGTTTCTTACGTATATTTGTTATTACTTTAATCTGTAAGTTATCCATCCCCAAAGGGAAATCTTGAAATTATTTAATCTTAAAACTAAAATGTATTATTCTGTATCATCATCTGTATTATCACAGGTGTCTTTGGCTGCCCAACTACAGTTGCTAATGTTGAAACAGTTGCTGTTGCTCCAGTAAGTACTACAAACTGGAAATTTGTGTGTGGGTGTACTAATAATGCATTGAATAATGTTACTAAATAACACACTTTTTTAAGGCTATCTGCAGAAGAGGAGCTGAATGGTTTGCAGGTTTTGGTCGTCCAAGAAATACAGGAACAAAGGTCATTACTTTTTGAATTTTAAATAAAATTATATAATTTACTCTACTTTAAAAGGCTTGAAAATATATGTAAATTACAACTATTTCAACTGTAGCCTATTAAAATTGTTAGAATCTTTTTTTGTCATTTTTCGATTTGTATACGTTTAATTTCTGAAGTGATTGTCTGACATATTTAATAAGTACATGATTTTAAATTTTAGCTCTTCAACATATCTGGTCATGTGAATAATCCTTGTACTGTGGAGGAAGAAATGTCGATACCCCTAAAGCTGTTGATAGAGAAACATGCAGGAGGTGTAATAGGTATGTAAGCTAGAGGGTTTTAGATGAGTGAGTGATTGACTGCACACGAAAATATCAAAATCAAGGATTTTACACTGTAATTTTTTTTTGTCTGGTTACACTTTCATTTTGACAGTTCCAATATGCCTCTGACCTGACAAATGACATGCAAGAGACTTTGAGTTAGACCAACCTTGCAATTCAAATTTTGTACCTGAAATCCTAGATAATTGAGGGTGTTAACCAATTAAAAGAGTTCTTTTGTTGTATTCAGATTAACATATTTGCTATATTTGTTTTATAGGTGGATGGGACAACCTCTTGGGTGTAATCCCTGGTGGGTCTTCTACACCTCTCATTCCTTTGGAGTAAGTAAAGTATACTTGGTTATCCTGTATCATCATCTATTATTATCGTCACCATCATCATCTATCATCATCATCATCCATTATCATCGTCATCATCCATCATCACCATCCATTATCATCGTCATCAT